GCAGCCGATCAATGATTCTCTCTTCATTGATGTTTCTATCTCTCTCCCTCTCTTTTCCTCTCTGAAATCAATAAAAATATAAAAAAAATAAATATTAGCCAGTATTGTTTTTCTCTCAGGATAAGGACAGGCCCCCTTCTCTTTACAGGCTGCTCACCTTCCACCTACTCCTATAACTGCATTCTTACCATTTGGTTGCCAGTGTTGTCACCATCAAGATTACCTTCTCTGGCTACACTCCAGGCAGTCAGACACACTGAGGTCCAAGTCCTACTCTTTTGCTCACTTGCTCCGTAAGCCTTGAGTTAGGATAATGCTAGCGTCTATAACAAATAGGCCCCCAGATCTCAGCAGCCTAACACAAGAGAAGTTTACTTCTGGCTCGTGTAAGATGCCGAGTGGGTAACCCTCCCACACCCGGGGACCCAGGCTCTTCCTATCTTGTAGATCCACCATCTCTCAGGGCCTTGGAGTCTCCGCGTCAAGTCAGCATGCAGAAGGGGGAATAGAGAGCCCTGGCCTGTGTGGCTCGGGTGGTTGGGCGTTGACCTGTGCCCTGAAAGGTTGCTGGTTCGATTCCTGGTCAGGACCTGTGCCCCGGTTATGGGCTCAATCCTTGGTAAGGGGCATGCTGGAGGCAGCTATTCCGATGTTTCTCTCTCTGAAATAAATAAATAAATAAATAAATAAATAAATAAAAATGCTTTTTAAAAGAAGAAGAGAGAATAAAGACATGAACCATTCTTAAAAGTCCTAGCCTAGCTGTGACACACACATCATTTCTGTTCTCATCTCATCGAGGAAATCAAGTCCAGTGACCACAGCTGGACACAAGGGAGGTGAGAGGTGTAGTGCCCACAGCTGCCTGCCAGCAAAGCTCTGTATTATAGGAGACAAAACAGAGTTTTGGTGGGCAGTTGGCTATCTTTGCTGTAACCATAATAAGTCAACCTCTTGGGCCCCGCTCTTCATAAAATAGAAATTACTGCTCAATGTGGCCTGGCTGTACAGCGCTATACATTTACTAAAATCATTAAATTGTACACTTTAGGGGAATTTTGTGATATGTAAGTTATACTCAAGCTGGGTGGGGTTTTTTGTATGTGTTTTTTAAATCCTCACCCAGGATTTAAATATCCTCACCAAGGATATTTTTTCGTTGATTTAGAGAGAGGGAATGTCAGAGAAAAACACACCGATTGGTTGCCTCCTGCACGTGCCTTGAGCAGGGCCCGGGCCGGGGAGGAGCCTGCAACCAAGGTACGTGCCCTTGGCCAGAATCGAACTGGGGACCCTTCGGTCCGCAGGCTGACGCTCTATCCACTGAACCAAACTGTCCAGGGCTGCTCAAGCTGTTTTAGGAAATAGGAAGTGTGTCGCCTTCCTTCTCAGGGCACTTGTGAGGACTTGGTGACGTTTTGCCAAGCTGCACTGTGTGTGCACAGGGAGCAGGGGATGGAAAGGAGTCCCAAGTGGGGTTATGCATCGGGTGTAGTTTTCATGGGGCACCCAGCTCGAGCCACCTGCCAACAGGAAGTGGTAATGGTTCCATCTTGCCTCTGGCTTGGGAAACCCTAGCCCGACTCTGCGACCCTCCCCGCAGGTGGAGGAAGGCCCAGCCCATAGGGCCAGAGCTTTTGTGGTCAGAGCCCAGGCTGCTGCCAGGAAGAGGGGCCGACACCCTCCTGCCTTCAGCAGCACAGATGGAAGCCGAGGGCTTCCCTTGGGGCCGGTGAGGACATGCATTGAGGTGCCAGTCATGTGGGCCCCGGCGCAGCACAGTCAGCTTGGAGTGGACAGATGCAGTGCCAACGACACAGGTGCGGCCAGCAGCCCCCTGCCTGAGCCAGGCAGCTCGCAGCTGCTCCACAGAGCGGAGGCAGTGCCGATGGTGGAGGTGAAACTTGGGCGAAGGTCCCACTGATGCCAGACGAATGCCTCCGGCCTCAGTGCCCCCCGAAGAAAGGAGCTGGTCCCTTCTGCCTAGACTGCTGTGAGGATTAAGGGGGTGATGCATGTGAGCACCTGGACCAGTGCCGGCAGCAGTCCGCTGTCCACAGGAGCTGCGTGAGTGTGGGCGCGCCTTGGCCAGGCTCTGCCCTCTTCCAGGCTTCACTTTCCTCACCTGGATACTGAGGGGCCAGAGGTGCTCCCGCTTCCTGACCTGGGAGCCCCCCAGCACTAGCTGTATGACCTTGGTCAGGTTAGTCTGTGCCTCACCCCACTCGCCCCTAAGAGGGGTAATAATAATGCCCACCCCGTGGAGCAGGGAGGCAGGGAGGTCATCCTTAAACGGGGCCTGACACGTAGTAAGTACAGTCTGAATGTTAGCAGCTGCTGTTGCTGTTGTCATTATTTTCTTCATCATCTGGATGTGGAAGCCGAGGCCCAGAGAAGCAGTGTGACTTGCTCAAGGTCACCCAGCTGAAAAGTGGTGCACGTTAGGGTCAAGGCCGAGGCTGCTGAGCCCCAAGGCCCGTGCAGGTTCCATCACTCCCCACCGCACCTCTGAAGTCACGTGCGCAGTAAGTGGGTCAGAGGCAGTGAGTACCTGGGGGGATGACGCAGCAGCAGGGACCGTGTATGGATTCATTCCTTGTCTCCTGCTGACACCTTGCGGGGAACAGGCCTGAAGGGACAGGGAGGTGGGCAAGGAAGGCGACCCCCAAAACTGGACCCTAGGAACCAAGGCCATAGATAGAAAGAGTTTCATCTGATGTAGCCCCAGCCCCTCAGGCGCTTGTGGCCTATTGGTGGGGACAGGCAAGGAACAGCTGAGACACCCCAAGATACTCAGGGTCCTGAGAGAGACATACCCTGTCTGAACCCTGGGATCCAGAGACAGGAATGGGAATGGGGCAGGAGGGAAGGCTTCTTGGAGGAGTGGGACCTGAGCGTACTGAGACCCAGGAGCTGGCGGGGGCGGGGGGTG